CGACGATCCGGAATCGTGCCAGAGCGCCATTTTTGGGGATTTCAACACCGCGAATCAACATAAGTGCTGCACCCGCATAATCTTGAATCCGTCCAAAACGCACTTTCTGGTACGTTGATCATGGGAATCCGTGGCACTAATTTTTGAAATCGAATGTGCGCGGCGCTCAGGCGAGAGCCACATTTTGAAAAGGAACCGCCCTCAATCCATGAAACTCTTTGCGAGTTTTCGAAACGAATGTGCGTGGCGCTAAGGCGAAAACCACATTTTGAAAAGGAACCCGCCGTCAATCCGTGAAGCTCGCAAATGTTACAACGAATGTGCGCGGCGCTGAGGCGAGAGCCGCATACCACCCGCCCTCAGTCCGTGAAACTCTTGTCCAATGTTTTCCCCACATCTAAAGTGGGGTTCTTGTTTTCGCTGCACACGCCGCGCAGGATCTCACACCCCCCCTTTCCTCTCTCTCTCTCTCTCGCTCTCACACACACTCACCATCATCACCATCATCATCATCACCATCAACCACCATCATCGTCATCACACGCACACACTCATCATCATTACCATCATCATCGCCATCAACCACCATCACCGTCATCACTACTCTTCATCATCATCCTCATCATCCTCATCATCATCATCGTCACCATCATCACCACTCTATCACCCACTCATTCAATTACTCACTCATTCTCAGTCGGCTTCGGAGGCACGGGTCTTCCGACGGTAGGACCGCCGCCTCTCTCAACATCATCGTCACCATCACCATCATCATCTCTCGACCACCCACTCATTGGTCATCATCATCATCAGCATCATCATCATTCACTCATCACTCATTCATCATCAGCACTCACTGACTCATCACTTCGTCATCAATCACTCCCTAGATTGAATATGGAGGACGTATCAGGCGGGAGCCTCGTCGGTGAGTGCATTGCGAGGAAGTCTCAGGCGTGAGCCCCCTCCCTGTGGGGCCCGCGTGTCATGTTGGTAATCCGAGCGGGTCACCCGAAACGTGTAATTGTCGTCACTTTTGGGCTCCTGCGGCCTGGATATGGAGGAGGTATCAGGCGGGAGCCTCGTCTGCGAGTGAATTGCGAGGAAGTCTCAGGCGGGAGCCCCCTCTCTATGGGGCCCGCACTTCATGTTGGTAATCCGAGCGGGTCATCCGAAACGTGTAATTGTCGTCACTTTTGGGCTCCTGAGGCCTGAGTATGGAGGAAGTATCAGGCGGGAGCCTCGTCTGTGAGTGAATTGCGAGGAAGTCTCAGGCGTGAGCCCCCTCCCTATGGGGCCCGCATGTCATGTTGGTAATCCGAGCGGGTCATCCGAAACGTGTGACCGTCGTCGCTTTTGGGCTCTTGAGGCCTGAATATGGAGGAAGTATCAGGCGGGAGCCTCGTCTGTGAGTGAATTGCGAGGAAGTCTCCGCGGCCCGTTTCCTCGCGCGGCACGAGTGGCCCTCGATCTGGGAGACACAGGAGGTGCAGGAGGAATTCTTCGCGCTGCACCAGGCGCGGGCGGAGGGTAAGGACGAGGAGGGCGACTGGCTGGACCCCGCCCACTGCCCCGACAGAGAGAAGCCCAGGGCGACGGTGCACCAGTACGTCTCCATGATAGCCATGCAGGTGGCGCCCAACCTGGAGGGAATCGCCCTGGCGCGCGAGGAGAAAAAACCCCGGCAGTACCAGAGCGACGCGGCCGTGCAGAGCGCGTGCCTCAAGGCGACCACCGGTGGGGGCGCCGGTCAGGACGAGGGCGCCGAGGCGGGCGAGGGCGTAGAGCACCCGGGCGCGCCCCCCTTGGCGGTCCGAGCGCACTTCCAGTCGGCCCCGACCTGGGGCATCGACGGGGGGCAGGACATGGCGGACGTGCTGAACTTCGCGCACCGCAAGCGCCTCGCGAAGTTGGCTAAGGAGCTCCTCGCGCTCCCGTGCATGTCCGAAGCGGCCCGCGAGGGCGCGGGTGCGCCCGAGCCGACGGAGGCCGCGACCGCTCCCGCGCCCGCGACCGGGTGCCGACCTCTGGTGACTGCAGCGCGCGAGGAGAGACACGCCTGGGCAAACCTGCGCGACGAACGCCTCCAAGGCAATCGCGACGAGGACAACGCAGGCGCTCCGGCCGGCGAGGGCGAGAGCGCAGGCGGCCTGGGCGGCGACCCCGCTGCGGCCAGTTTTGCCAGCAGCGTGTACTCAACGCCCAGCGCGTGCATCGCCGCCCTGGTCGCTGGGTTGCCGGAGAACGAGAGACTCGCGCGGGGCCAGGCGCTCTTCGTCGCCAAGTTCGCCAAGGCCTGCGACGACGCCTGGGAGGGCGACGTGCAGAAGAAGCCCTGGGGCGAGAGAAGTGGCGCACTTGCTCCTGCTGGGCCAGGGCGGCTCGGGGAAGACGCACGTGGTGCAGAAGATCGTCTTCCCAGTGGTGGAGTATTTGTGGCCCTCGTCGGCGCAGGACAAAGGCGCCATGATGGTCGTGGCCTTCTCGAACGCGCAGGCGAAGAACGTCTCCACGGAGATTGTGGAGGCTAGAACGCTGCACAGCGCCTGTGCCCTGCGAGTCCAGAAGTACATCAACGCGAAGATGTGGCCGGGGGGCGCGCAGAAGAGGATGAAGTGGTTGTGGGGGCACGTCCGCGTACTTGTCATCGAGGAGGTGAGCATGGTGGCGGCAGCTCTGTACAACGCGCTGGACCTTCGCGCTTGCCGCGGACGCAGTGGCACGCGTGACGTGCAGGAGTCCACCTGCAAGAGGCCGCATCGCCACTTCGGGCGCGCCCCCATCGTGCTGCACCTCGGCGATTTCCTGCAGCTGAAGCCCGCCGGCAGCATCGGCCTCCTAGCGGGCCCCAACGAGCTCCTGGAAGACGATTCGTACAAGTACAAGGAGCCGCCGACGTTGGAGATTCAGCACGCCATCAACGTCTTCAAACACACCCCCCGCGTCTTCGAGCTGAAAGGCACGAAGCGCTTCGAGCCAGGGGGCCCTCTGCATGCGCGAGGGCAAGCGCTTCCCACCAGAGGTCCGGTCTGCCTGGGAGAAGACATTGGCTTCGGACGACGCTCGGCACCAGCGCGAGAACTTTCGGCTCGGCTACGGCATGGGCATCTACTGGGAGACGCTGGCGAGGTGGATCAACACGCGCGCCCGTCGCGACGCGCGGCGCCTCGGCGCCCCCCTCGTTTTCCCGCAGGCCGTAGACGAGTGCGGCGCGATTCAAGGCGACCCAGACGCAGGCCGGCGCCTCCTGAACGTTCCGAACATGCGCAAGACCGGGGACATCCGCGGCGTCTTACCGGCGCACCTCGGCATGGAGGTCCGGTTCACGGCCGTGCAGGAGGAGCTGAAGAAGAAGTTGGGGCTCGTGCAGGAGCAGCGGGCCACCGTCGTGTCCTTCGAGTTTCACGCAGACGACGAGCGGGGCTACGAGGAGTGCGCGCCGGGCCAGCTCTTCCGCCCCCGCTACCTACCGCAGGGAATCTGGCTGCAGGTGCACGGCTTCCAGGAGTCCCCGATCTACAAGGAGGTCGCCGAGGTGCTGCAACAGCGCGCCGATGGCGCTGGCGACGACGGCGAGGCCGAGGCGCGGGCGAGGAGTTTGCTCATGTTGAGGCCCAGCGAGCAGGAGTTCACGTGGCAGAGCTCGGGGGCGCACACTGTGCGCCGCTCGGGGTTCACCCTGGCGCATGCGTCCTACCTGACCTCCACGCTGTCGCAGGGCCAGACGCTGCGCAAGGGCGTCACCATCGACTGCGCCAGGGGTGAGGACGCTGGCCGCACGGGCATGTCGGGCGAGATGTGGTGGCTGCACCTCTACGTCATGTTCTCCCGCGCCACGTGCGTGCGGAACATGCTGATCCTGCGGCCTTCCGCGCGAGAGTTCCTGGGGCGCGGGCCGCCAGCGTCCCCGCGGAAGGCGCTGCAGGAGTTTGACAAGAGAGCGGTGGACTCCAGGGCTGAGGCGGAGCAGCTCGCGGCAGAGCTGGGCTTCGTGCTGCCGCCCGCCTGAGCGCCGCGGCGCGCGCCTGGGGGCCCGCGGGGTTGTCCCGGCGGCTGGCTCCCGCGCCCCTGCGGCCTGCGAGGTTGTCCCAACGGCCTGGCCCGAAGGGTCGTCCTGGCGGATTCGCGATCTAGACGTCGGCAAACGCGCGCGTGCTGGCCGACGCGGCGACGGCGCCGAGGAAAATCGAGTTGCTTGCCACGACCAGGGGGAACGGGAGGTGCACGTGGAGAACAGGCAGGAGGATGAGGGGGGAAGGGGCATGGGGGAGGGCGACGACGAGGACGAGGTGGCGCGAGAGGAGGAGGAAGAGGAGGAGGAGGAGGAGGAGGAGGAGGAGAAGGAGGAAGAGAAATATAAGGAGGAATAGAGGCAGCGCGGAGGGCGAGAGGAGAGGGTGTCCGCCAGGGGGAGGAGGAAAGGGCAAAGGGTAAGCTAAACAGATTCTCGTGTGGGGTCCTACCGTCGGAGTAATTAAACGAGTGTGCGCGGCGCTAAAGCGAGAGCCACAATTTGGAAACCACCTGCCCTCAGTCCGTGAAGCTCTCGTGCAGATGTTCTCAACGAGTGTGCGCGGCGCTAAAGCGAGAGCCACAGTTTGAAAACCACCCGCCCTCAATCCGTGAAACTCTTGCACATTTTTGAAGCGAATGTGCGCGGCGCCTAGGCGAGAGCGACATTTAAAAAACCACCCGCCCTCCATCTGTGAATCTGTTGTCACTGAAGTCTCGGGCGAAACGCCTGGCCCGCATTGAAAACTCACCTGAAGGTGCGACGGGGAGGAGTTACCTATAAGGAGAAGGAATGGAAAAGGAGGGGAGGAAAAACCCGAGGAACCGGAGGAGGAGGAGGAGGAGGTGGAGGAGGAGAAGTTGGAGGAGGTGGAGGGGGAGGTGGGGGACGAGGAGGAGGAGGAGGAGAAGGAGGAGGATTAGAAAAAGGAGGAGGATGCGCCTTGTGACATGGTGTGCCCCCGTCGAGACCGACTGGCCGGCGCGAG